GCCAACTATTGTCCTTCTCCCTCCGACATTAGAAAACATTTGCAAGTGAAAACTCTTTCAGTGTTCTTGTTATTCATTCATTGATATCATTGCATTGAATTCACTGGCCAGTTCACCACCGAATTTTGTGGTAATACTCGAGTATACCAAACATTATCCCAGCGTCACCAGCTGTCCGACCGAGTCCGCTTCTGGCTCGAGTCGACCGACAACGAAAGGCAAGGGCCCAATTCAGTCGAAAGGCTTACATTTATGCACAAGTAGCATTCAATCATTGAAAATTCACTTTTGCTTGGGTCGAGTGCGATAAAGTATACACTCGCCCATCAAAATCCATTTAGCAATCATTGGAAAGCATTTAACATTTCAGCAACATTCACAACATTTCACATAGTCATTTAAAGCATACACATGCAAAGAACACTCACCGATATCAGTAGAGTAAATGTCAAAAGTTCGTCCCCAGGTTATACTCGTGCTCACCAACAAACCCTAAGAACAACCAAGATAAAGATATTATGGTCCTACCATCCAAAGCTTAAGTGAACAAAGTTCACATATTAGGCTCAACTATGAGCCACAAGCCTATACAAGATGGCCTCTCAAGCACGTAGGGTTCAAGGGCAAATTTGAAGGTGCAAATCAAGGAAAAATCTAAATGTATTCCAAAAATGAAGAGACCAATTTAAGCATCCAAAATCTCACCAAAATAAGGTTTAAAACCCAGAAAATGTTTTCCAAAGGTTTCCAAGTCCCACTCAATTCATTTGATAAAATTTTCAGCTTTGGTTACATTTTTTGAAAAAGTATAACTTGAGTTCCATAAGTTGAAAAATCATATATCTTATGCCATTAGAAAATAGACTCAAAAGTCTGCAACTCTCTCGAAGACACCTTCATAAAATTTGGCCTAGAAATTAGTCAAATCTCAGCCTCAATTCACTGCTCAACTAAGTGCAAAAACAGGGCAGTCTTGGATTTTCAGCCCACTTTGAAATTTTGCTGGTATTTATAGATAGTGAACTAAATCATGAATTTTACATGGTTAAAATAGCTATGAGTCTAGTTTCAAACAAAACAAATGGAACTCAATTCAGGTTTTTCTAACCAAGATATAACAGATTTCCCAAAACTGCTCAGAGTCTCCTGCGGGAAATATTTTCAGCAGCATTTCCTCTTATTTTTCCCTAATTCCCAGCCATTTTCAAGGCTTCATCCTCACCACAAGACAGCCTCAAATCAAGATATACATACCAAGCCACCAACTCACTAAATCAAGCATATACATAGCATATAACCATCACATACTCAAGCTGGAAAAGTTAAACCCTAAGCTGGAAATTCACAACTAAAGCTAGAAAATCCTATTTTGAAGCCACAAATTCATACCAAAGCTAGAAATCTTCATATCCAAACTTTCATATCCAAATCAAAGTTAGAAACTCCCAATTCATGGCTGGAAAATATAAATAAAAGCTGAAAAATTCCAACAACATCACAAATCCATGAAACCGGCCACAAAACTTCCATATTCAAGTCATATGCCCAATAAATTGCAAGAATAGAAAGAGAAGCAAGTTCCTTAGATTGATACCTTCAAACCTCCAAGGAAAAATACAAATTAAACAAGGGCTTTCTTCCTCAAGTAACTCCACCAAAAACTTCCCCCCAAGCTTAACTCAAGATTAATCGGTGTGGTTTAGGGTTGGTGTTTGGATTTCTCAAGGATTGAGTAAGAAATCAAAGCTAGAAGTTGTTTTCTCGTCTCTCCCTTTCTCTTCTCTAATCTTGGCCAAAATGAATAAAGAATGAAGGAAAGTTTGGCTAGAAGAAAGATAAGAAGGAAAGAAAGTCTTTTGGTCAACTAAGTTTGGATCGTTGACACTTGGCAATGTCAAGTTTCCCCCCCCCCCTTTTTTTTTCTTTTCTTCCTCCTCTTGGTCAAGAATTTCAGCCACCCTTAGGGCTAAATTAGGGGAGGATAAATGATTGGAAAATAAGAAGATTAGGGAAAGAAAGTCTCGGTCAAGTTGTGCCTTCGACCGGTAACAAACGGCGCGAGTCGGTTCAAGCCTATTTTCTTAACTCTCTTATACATTTGTTTTAACTTATGATTCACTAACTTACTCCTAGCACTTTTAATCTCATACTTCCTCTTACTTAATACCCACTCTTATCTACCAAATTTAGTACACACACCTCACCAATTGATCACACTACACGAATGCACCAAAACCCTAGCATAACCTAACTATAGAAGTAAAAGTAAAACTCTCTACTCTATTATTTATTACAACTATTAAGTAAATTAGTAGTAAGGAAATTAGAAATTAACTTATTCAAAATAAAAGAGAATTATAAGAAAATATAGATAAATTTTTAAGTCCTCACAAAATGTCATTAAACGTGCAAAATTATAGGCCACTTTATAAGATATACTTTCTAAAATGCAAAAATTTCAATTACGTAATAACCATTTCCAAATCAAATGAGAACTAAATTTTCCAAAATACATATAAAGTTTCAATAAGTGGAAGAATTAGAATGCTTAAGGTTGGATCAAACTGGCCCTTAAACAAAATTGCAGAAATTTTTGGGCTATAGTGAAATTTTGGAAAGATTTTAAAAAAATTTGATAAAGTTTCCCTTTATATCTGAACGAAATGCCCTACCAACAAATCCAATTTCAAGAAATATTCTACATGGTAATTTTTCCATACACTGGAACTTTTCTTTTATTCATACTAGTTATCTTAAATATTTGTATATTGTAGTGTTCAACAAAGTTCTTGAATAGGTTTCTCAATTGTGTTAATGCTGACAGACTTTATTATAAACATCCTATGTTCAGCAATAAAATCCCATGTGTAGTTCTACTTAAGAGCGTTAAAGACTAAATAAAAGGATAATAGTAAGAAATCCAATGAACATCTATCTCTAGATTTCCTTTATCTTTTATAATACATCATCTGGCTTCCTCGATTGTTGCTATCTAATGGTAATATAGACAGATGAATGTTTTCATTAATGGTAATATAGATGTATTAAACGAAGTAGGAATTAAAAAGTAGGAAACACTCAACAGACTTTTCTATGCATTATAAACATAAATATGGTATGGATTTTACTAATTTTCCAACGTTAACATAAATGATTAAAGCACATCCGAAGACTATTATTTTGAGCACCAATCACCTTTATTTTCAATCCCGATTGAAAAATAAAAAGAAAAGAAAATTATATTGATGATATAACTATTCGATGACTATATATCAAGAAGAAACTTTATCTAAACATGCACACTATTGAACCATCTTAATACATGCATGGTATTTGATTATGTAGATTGAGCCTGTATAGTTATTTGGATAATTTTTTTTCTCGATCATAGTTTGCTTATGGTAACAGGACCGTGTACGTTGTAAACTATCATGTATGAGATTACCAAATAACGAAATGCCTTGGGAATCCTGTTGTTGGCAAAGTTGTTATTCAGCATACCTAATGAAATTGTACCATCAACTAAGCTCTGATCCTATAGACAAATGGAAAGTAAGTTATATATTGATGGACAAATTTAAAACCTTGATCAAGAATATTTTGGAAGAACCTATTATCTAAGACTTAAATTATAATGTGGAGTTTGTATTCCAATAATAATCTTTAGTAGTTAAACTATTATGATGTTCAAAAGACATTAAGCACAATAGGAAATGTTTCATCCTAGTTTTGATCTATACTTCTTGTTAATTAAATCACATCAAATGTTCATATGATAAGCAATGCTACTAATGATTTGTTTAATGTTTATAGGTTTGCTTAGAATTGTTTAGGCGGAAGATTGTTTATGAAACTTAGAGAGTCAAGATGTTTGAAGACCTTGTGATGAAAGGAGTGGAAGGTAGTGCTAAAGAAAAAAACGGTATTCAATTCAATTCAAGGCTGGGAATATAAAAAATTAAGTCTTAAAACTTATTTTAGATGAAGTATTTTTGTATGAGCTATACAGTCAATCTTTGGCCATTAGGATGAGTTCAAACTGCCTGATTTATGATGAGTATCGAGTCTTTTTAATGTCTTGTTTATGAAACTTAGTGGCCCAAGATGTTTGAAAGCCTTGTGATGAAAAAAAGGGGTGGAAGGCAATGTTAAAGAATAAAATAGCATTGAATTCAAGTTAAGGTTGAGCATATAAAGGTATTATTTCTGTAAGTCTTGAACTTACTTTATTATTATTATTTTTTAAAAGTCTTGAACTTACTTTAGTTGAAGTATTTTTGCGTGAATTTTATAGCTCAACTTCTGCCAATTACAATGAGTTCAAGTTGCCTAATTTATGATACGTTTTGAGTCTTTTTCAAGTCGGTCCAAAGATAATTTTTAAATACTGTTTCTCTCCTTTGAGCCCAGTGGGATCCTTCGCTGGTGCCTAGTATCTGTTACTGTAGGAGGAGTAATGTAGACCTAGTAGAATGATAAAATGGAAAAAAAAAAGAGAGAAAAGCATGTTCAAAGTTACATTGGTATAAGACTAGGAATCATTCTTAATCATAATCATATAAAAGTTATCTTGCTACGAGAATACAAATCGCAAGGTTGAGTAAACAATGATATCATAGTTATCATAAAGAAAAATGCCAACACTAAACTTAAAATAGCGGCGTTGAATAAATGTCAATAAGAAAACAAGTCATAAGAAGAAAAATAAAATTTATGTAATATCGCAATTTAAAAAATTGACAAGTAACAAAAAATAATGATTTTTTTTGAATTTGTAATGCCTATGATAAAATGTTACTACCTATAAAAAGAAGCTGCCGACTGCTGAACTCCATAAAATCATCATTCGAATTCATTCTAGATCTTTTTTTTTTTTTTTTTTTTCCGGAAACGATAGAAATTTTATTATAATAAGGAAGTAAAATTACATAGGTTGAGCAAGGGCTCAAAATGGTCTTTACAAAAGTGGACTAGGCCACTGATGAACTGAAATTTCATCATCAAAGTATAATCATAGCTAATCTACTCAGTTTAGTACTGAGTCTATCCATAGCAACAGGCAAACTATCAAATGAGCATTTCCTAAACATTGAGCAAAAGTCTTTTATGTCGTCCAAGTGAGTTGTCAGCCTTAAGTTACCAGAAACTTGATAGCGTATCATATTAAGAACCTGACTGCATGGAGTTCGAATATTGACATGCTGCCAACCTTTGTCCTTGAGCTTCTGAAGTGTCAGTTTTATGGCCAAGAGATTGTCCAAAACTGCTGAACCAGTGCTTCTCTCGCTCAGTATCCAAGCTTCACGTCTTTGGCTCAGATTGTTTTCTGCTGTCACTCCAATTCCCATATTTTGGCCCTCGACATGTTGACCCACCTCAACACTAATGTTCAGCAAGCACTCCTCATCCCCCATCCATTCCTCCTCATCTTGTGCTGTTTCTGTTTCGAGAATGCTCAACTGATGTTGTTTTTGTTGTGATTGTTGATACTCCTCCCAATCCTTCATGGCTTTCCTAATGACTTGCATAGGATGTCTATCCTTCCCTTCAAATTCAGCTTCATTTCTAACTTTCCAGATCTGCCAAAGTATTTCCACTGTTAAGTTTATGTGCTCCCTTCCCTCCTTTCGCACCTGCACTTCCATTAACATACTCCACCATCTGCTGAAGTCAGATGTGTGCTCTTTAGGTCCATCCCACTGGAGGGGCGCCATCCGCCATATCATTTGTGCATGTTTGCACTGAAAGAAAATATGTTCCACAGTTTCAGTATTTTCCCCACACCACAGTTTCAGTATTTTCCCCACACAGCTTGCAGATTAAATCACCTTTGCCCGTTCGTTTATGTACTACCTCCCTACATGGCAAGGCTCGGTTCAGAATTTTCCATACAAACAGCTTTTGTTTGTGTTTGATCTTCATTTTCCAGAGCTGTTTCCAAGCTTTCCCACTCCCTCCTTCCCAGCTTGTCTCTCCCTTATCTCTGCCGTTGCCTTCCAACCAATTTTTCCTTCTTGTTATTGCGTCATATGCTGAACTCACTGTGTACTGTCCATTCTCACTATGGCTCCAAAAATAGGAGTCTGGTCTGCTAGTTAGACTAATAGGAATTTTGAGAATCTGTCTGGCTTCTCTCGGATTGAAAGTTCTAAACACGAGGTGCATTCCATCTGAAGTTACAAATCAGGTCACTCACTTTACTAATCGTACAAGTTGGGGGCTTTGTGGACACCACTTTACCTTCTTTGCCATCCTGGATCCAAGCATCCTCCCAAATTCTAGTGCCGTTGCCATTACCTATCTTCCTCCTTGCTCCTCTTCTTACCTCCTCTCTTGCGCTCATCATGCTTTTCCATATCCAAGAGGAGTTGGCTTTGGCTTCGCAGCTTAGGGGTGACTCATGTTGGTAATACTTGGCTTTCATCACCTTACTCATCAGCAGGTTTGGGCAGGTGAGAAGCCTCCAGATTTGTTTACCCAACAATGCTTTATTAAAGCCTTATAAGTCTTTAAAGCCTAAGCCACCATTATGCTTTCCCCTTGCCAGCTTTTGCCATGAACACCAATGCACTTTCCTTTTGTCATTTTCCTCTCCCCACCAGAACCTTGCCATAAGAGCTTGAATGTCTTTACATAGTTTGACTGGAAGCTTAAAACATGACATAGCATAGGTTGGCATTGCCATGGTTATAGCTTTCATTAAAACCTCTTTGCCTGCTTGGGAGAGCTGCTTATTGCACCAACTAGCAACCGTTTTCTGACATTTATCTCTGATAAAACCAAAGATCTGGTCCTTTGTTTTGGTAATGACCATAGGCAGCCCCAAATACTTCCCTTGATGTACCACCTGGATATGTCCTAGTCTACTGCATATTTCCTTTTGTTCCTCAGGTTCCACATTCTTGCTAAAAAAGACCGATGATTTTTCCATATTTATCAATTGTCCTGAGCCTTGTTCATACATTGCCAATATCTTCATCACTTCTTCAGCTTGATCCTTGTCAGCTTTGCAAAAAATGAGAGAATTGTCTGCGAAAAAAAGGTGACTGATTGATGGTCCAGCTCTACTTATCTTCAATCCTGATAGCTTGTGATTGCTCTCTGCTTGAGTCAACAAATTGGAGAAGCCTTCGGATACTAATAAGAAAAGGTAAGGTGACAGCGGATCACCTTGCCTAATTCCCCTTGAAGGTGTTAAGTAACCTTTAGACTCCCCATTTATATTGAAAGAAAAAGTAGTTGTAGTGATGCACTCCATTATCCAACTAATCCAAATCTCATTGAAACCCATTTTGTTCATCACAGCCTTCAAATAGCTCCACTCCACCCTGTCATAGGCCTTAGACATGTCTAACTTTAAAGCCATAAATCCTTGAGACCCTTGCCTTTTGTTTTTAAGGTAGTGCAAGTACTCGTGAGAAACAATAATGTTGTCCAAAATTTGTCTTCCAGGCACAAAGGCTGCCTGGTTTTTGATTGATAGAAGAGCAAAAATGCGATGAGTTTTTCAGGAGGTGTAGAATCAAATTGCTATTGAAGACGAACTTGCTAATGCAATTGCCTAAGAAATAGATAAGGATTGGTTCGTGGCTGACATAGCTAAAGCAAAATGAATGTCAACAGTTTGAGCCGACTCTTATATGCTGATACAAGAGAAAAAATTGTGAGCAAGAAATTAACTTAAGCTGCATTTAGCCCATATTTTCTTTGTCTCAATGCAATAAAACAACTTATATATTCATTAAAATAGGAATATTTTTCTTTTTCAAATATGCTTTGAGTTTTCAAGTTTTCAAATAATTATAGGCTCCGTTTGGACTAGTTGTTTTTGGGGGTATTTTTGAAAAATTTTGCTGTAGCAGAGTTTTTAGAATATATTTTGGAATATTTTTAGAAAATATTTTGGGATATTTAAGAGTAGAAGAATTTCTAGAATATATTTTGAGATATATTTTAAATTTTAAAAAAATTTAAACAATTTTTAGATTACCTTTTAGAGTACTTTTAAAAATTTTTGTTATATTTGAAAAATTAGTTTTGAAAAACACTTCCATAGATATAAAAATTTCATGTTACATATGATTCCATGCAAATCTACATGCTTCTTGAACTTTCTTCAAAATTGACTCGAAGCTACTCACAAACAAGAAATACCATTATATCAAGGTTAGTGTGAGACCCCGAAATTTTACTTGTCTTTACAGCTGTTATTTGAAATTATTTGCCTTAGATTCTTGGTTGTTTTAATGGTTGAATTTGAGCCAAGGGAGTGAATTTTGTTAAGAAAAGTTTCATAATCTCAAGTTGTTAGAAACTCTAGAAATTTTCGCAGGAGGCTCTACGCAACTTTGGGAAATTGGCTATAACTTTGTATAGGAAAGTCGGAATTGAGTTCTGTTTATTGTATTTGAAACTAGACTCATAGGGTTTCCTACAGCATAAAATTTAGAGTTTGATTCAATCTCTATAAATTCCAAAAAATTGGCAAAGTTGACTGAAAATTCTATCCTGCATAAGTAAACATAGGAATGTTGTAGTAGTTTATGGCTCAATTTGGACTAACTTATGAGCTGAATTTTTTTGAGGTGTCTTCTAAAGATTATTAGTGTTTTAAGTCTAGTTTTTAACATGCCAAGTTGTATGAATGTTTGACATTTATAACTCAAGTTATGATTTTTCTAAAGGAAGGGCATAAGTTAGGGTTTTTTGTGCATACTAGGGTTTTTGGTGTGTCTTTGGTGCATTTTGGTAGTGTGATCGCTTGGTGAGGTGTGTGTACTAAATTTGGTGGATAAGAATGAGTATTAGGTAAGAAAAATTGTGTGATTAGAAGTGTTAATAATAAGTGAGTGAACCATAACTAAAAACACAAGTACGCGCGAGTTAAGGAAAACCGGCTTGAACCGATGTATACCGTTTGCCACCGAGTGAGTACACCACTTGAACATTATTTTATTACCTTAATATTCTTGTTTTCAATTGAGCTAATTAGCCCTTAATTAACCCATAAGTCAGCCACTATTATTGACTAAGGAAAAAGAAGAAAAGAAAACAAAAACAAAGAAAGATCTTGAGCGACAAGTGTTAGCAATCCAACGGTTGTTTGACTAAGACAAGTTTCTTTCTTCTTATTTTTCTTCTTGGCCAATTTTGCTTTATTTCTTACTAGCTTGGCTGAAATTTTGGAGAGGGAAAGAGAGAAAACAAACTTCAACTCCAACCTTAGATTTTTCCTTGTTTGAGTGAAATCAACTGAACTAAACTGATTAAACTTCTCTTTTGGTGGTTGCAAAGCTTTGTGTGGTAAAAGTTTTGGAAGAAAGGGGTGTGGTTTTCACTTACAAGCAATTATTAGAAGATATCATGATTTCCTTTCCTTTTCTCTTCCTTAATCTTGTTTAAATTTAGATAGAAGCTTATGTTCTTGGCTTATTATGGTTAATGATTCAGTTTTGGATGATATAATGGAAGGGTTAGTTACGGTTTACATTTTCAGCTTGATTATGGTTGTCTACCTAGTAATTGATGGTATTGAACTAGTAATTGATGGTTTTGATGATATAGGACTTGATAGTATTGAGTTAGGATATAAATATTTAGAGTAGAAGTGAATTTTCAGCTTTGATGATGAATCTGCTCTGTTTCTGACCTACATATTCGTCCATGATAGAGGCCGAATCAGGTCTTTCTCAAAACATGAAAGTTGTAGGGAATGAAGTTAACTATCTTCCTATAAAATTTCAGCTTAATCGTAGTACTGTAACATGTGAAATGATTAAAATACCCCTAACTGCCACAAGCCCTATTTCACAGGCAGCTTTCTATTTTCTCTGAGATTTCACATTTTGACCTTGAAAATGCACGAACGGGGTGGTAATGTCTTCATAAGAAATGTAGCTCTCTGTCTTAGCTTCGAAACACCGTAAAGTATACCCCAATCCAATAAGCGTAGCTTCAGTTGTGACCAAAATGCCAGAAGGTGTCAAGCCTGCTACTTAGTTATTCTTCTTTAATACTAGTTTCCAACTTTGATTTTTGGATTGCATTGCTAGAATTGCTTTGTATTTGGATGACATTGAGTCTAGTTGAAGGGCTATTGTGTTAAGATTGTTTATGTGTGAATTTGGGCTGAGTTGAGGAAAATAATGAAGCCATAAATGGCTGAAAAATAGCTAAATACAAAGGGCATGCTGCCCAAATTTTCAATCGAAGGCTAGGCGGGTGTACTTTTGACTTGAGCAAAGGTTTGAGGACGAATTGAACTTGAATTGTCTAGGGTATTCGAGTCTTCTTTTGTAGAGGTATATAAGCTAAAATTTGGCCGAAACTCGTACCCTTGGAAAAATGAAAGTAGTGACCACTCGAAATATGCTTTTCTCGTCTTTTAGACTCAAATATGAGTTCCAAAGTTTTAGTTAAAACAAGCGAGCATGAATTTTTTAGAGTTTGATACGTAACATGAACCCTATCTAAATGAGTTTCATTTACTTGATCTTCTTGAAATGAAACTCTTAAGTTTCGAACCCTAGTTGATTTCAAACTTTTAAATGATATTGTATCGCAGATTTGGACTCCAACCAAGGAGTTACACCTGAACGTGATTTTGATAAGCACTAAATCTTTGGTGAGTGCTTCCAAATGCCTGATTGAACTTGACACTTATTTTCAATACTTGACAAATGTGATCTAATGATATTTGATTGGTATGGTCGGG